GGTCAGGTCAGCAGTGGCAGGTCAGGTCAGCAGTGGCAGGTCAGGTCAGCAGTGGCAGGTCAGGTCAGCAGTGGCAGGTCAGGTCAGCAATGAACCTTTGGAAACTCTGCTCTAAAATGTCTCCTACAAAGACGGAGTGGCGGGGTAGCTTCTAAAAACTGTCAACCAAAACGCTGGAAGTTTCGAAACTCTTGAGCCTTCTTCGATTGAAGAAGACCACCTCCCGACCCAACTCATCCACCGGGTCTTCCTCCGCACCGGGACGGAGGCTCACCGTTCGGGACCCTGCGTTGCGAGGCTCAGGAACAACAGCATGTCCAGCAAATGGAGGCCGTGTTTGTTTGCGCATCGGGCGATGTTGTGTTTTCCCAGATGAATTTCTGAATCCACTTCTCAACATGTTTATGTTGAGGAAGTTTTTAGCTTGCACTGGGTGTTTTCTTTGCTAAGCATTAAGCATGAACCGATTCCTACCAGGACCCTCCTGTCGGGGTGTCGATTTATAGCCCCTTAGCTGTGATTCGGGGTGTCCGATGTCCATTCACCACCGAGACTCAAATGGTCCTGATATAATTAGGTCAATCATGGTCAATCCATTTTCCATGGTGTGGTGCAAGGCTTGGGTTCAGAACGTATCACACCACTGGTGATGTGGAACATATTTATCTTTCAATTGGAGGCTGACTGAAGTATCTCACAGATACAGATCCCCAAAACAAGAACGGCCCTGGGACACGCAACAAAAGAACAAGGACAAAAGGATCCAAAAGGTGTCCTATACTTTGACCCTCAAGGCCATGGGACAAAAAATCCAATCAGCCATGGGGTTTTCGCAGATTTGGGGGATCCGCTGGAATGCTGGAACTGGAATCCCCCACAGCGATGCAGCCGCGATCGACCTCGATCCCCTCGACTTTCGACGGGACGCGATCTTCGGAGGTTCACATTGGTCGACCACATGGGACCTCATCAGTGGTGTTCTTTGTACCCCAGGGCTCCAACCACATCCTCGGAAGGTGGTTGGGGTGGGTGCCAGGGCTGGCAGGGGGTTCTAACTACAGTACCATTTTCTGAGGATGTGGTTGGAGCCCTAGAAATAGATAATTCAGGCCGGGGTGGGACCGGAGGTGTTTTTCTTTGGCACCGGGGCCGGACTTGACATCGGAAGGTCGGAAGGTCGGAAGGTCCAATGGTCTGCTTACACACACGAAGCAGTGTGCTTCGTGTATGCTCTTTTTCACCCCCTTACGACACAGGAGATGGAGCGCAAATGGCAGCGAAGCTTCGACAAGAAGTGTCAGGCTGGGCTCGGCCGTGTGCGTTCGGCGAACAAGAGGAATCGGTTTGGTGAGTTTGGTAGGGGTGCTGTCAAGGGGTCAGGAGCATGGCATCACTTGTTGGTCGCCATACTGACCGTACTGGCTTCCTGTGACCTCAAAAGGCACAGTTCTCCTGTGTTTGAAGGAACTGGACTTGGCGACGCAACCGGTCACGACGCAAACTGGACATTCCGACAGACTGTGGACGGTCCGACTCCAAGTAGCGAACGAGTATCAATTCCCTACACCTCCAAGTACCTCATCAGAAGGTATTTGGACCCTCCAAACCCACCCCAAACACCTTCTCAGAAGGTACTTGGATGTGTAGGGATTGATGTACTGGATACTTGGTTCTTCCGTTCGTAACCGAACTTGATCCCCCCAGTTGGTGCGGTCCCTTGCTTGGTTAGTTCGGTCCCTTGGTTGGTGCGGTCCCTTGCTTGACCTGGTCATGAAGCGACTACTTAGGGGACGGAACAAAACGGTGACTTACAAGAAGCTGGTCGGAAAGAGCCCTGTGTGATACTCTGGTCTCCTGGGGCTCCAAACTCGTACCAAACGATCAAACCCTTGTCCCTCCAAACCCATCCCAGTCCTACCTTCTCTAGAAAGGAACCTGTTTGATCCTGTTGGCTTTTTAAGGTGTCATATTCCATGTTTGGTCTTAGCTAGAGCATGAGTCGTAGATCAGACTTTTGGTTGTCGAAGTTGGTCGAAGTCTGCTTTTTTGCATGCAGGTGTTGTTGGACTCCATCAAGGACGCTTCACAGGAGAACCAGCGTGCTTGTTGGAAAAGCGTGCGTTTGTTCGTTTGTTTGTTATGTTTGTTTGTTTGTTTTAAGATTATGTGTGAGATCGGATCGTAATCGCTGAACGAGGCGCAGAACCCCCCTGATGGAGGGGATGTTCTCAGCTGTGTGGTGTGGAAACCATCAATGCTCCTATCGTCGACTCCACACCTATCGGAACATGTGAGCGAGTGATGTTCTTGCCACTGGTCAGTGGTCTACAAAACAATCCTTGCAAGGCCCAATTAGGAAGAAACACATTCTACAATAACCCCGACTGCCCCAGCCGGTGAGCAGTTTTGTGTCAAACGCTGAATGCGCTTGTGTTATCATGTCATCTTCCTTCACGCTCTTGAGGGTTCCATCTGTGCATTGAGTTGATTCTATACCCGAAGCCTTTCAAACAAGTGGAGGACACATGGGCACGACGTCATAGAATCTTTCAGTGCGTGTCCCAGCATCTTGTTTTGGGTGGCAACTGGAGACTCTCCCGTTTTCCCCGCACTGGTCAGAAAAAAAAGACGGAACTTACCCTGCAAGTCCAAAGACCCAGTAAAACCTGGTCTTTAACATCCTTAAATATGGTTTTTGTATGACCAACTCAAGTGAAATGAGGTCTTTGACTTGTAGGGTTAAGTCCCGTACGACATCTACTTCTACCGACTCTACGGAGACCCGCCTGCTGCCCTCTTCCAGGTCTGGGAGGAGGTGAAGTTGGATGGAGAGGTCCCGAAGGCATCTGGGATCACCTGGCCTAGAAATGATGGACGAGGGCAACTCCTTAGCTCAAGACTCAAGATTTGGTGTTGTTTCGTTGGTGCAACAAAAACCAATATTGTTCATGAAAAAACGGCTACATGGTTGGTTCATGTTGGGCTCTTTTTTTTCACAATCCATTCTCTGATGTCCGGTGGTTTTGTGACTTCTCTGAAGTATCCCTTTAGAGACCTTTAAGTAGCTTCTGGGTGCCGAACCTCGGATAGCCCCGGAAAAAAGCCGTGGTTGGCTACGCAGTTCGCGAGGATCACTCTGATGGAGGATGCCGATTTGCGGATTGGGTGATCTGTGATTTTACATTCATTGATGAATCCCCTTCTCAAGAATCTTTTTTTTTTCATCCAGGAGCCGCAAATCCCAGATCCGAAGCTGTCAGCTGTGTGGGGTTGACATATTACCGTCGCCCGTTCTCGGACTTCGGTGGACCGGATGGCGCCGGATGGGGCACAGATCTGCAAAGGTTCTGGCATTTGGAAGAGCTGGCGGGGATGTAGAGAACCTCAAGAGCCAAGGTCACAAGCTTGTTCGAAGGGTGTTTTTATGTTTTTGTTAACGTCGATGGAGCTTCCTGGATTTAAGACTGTACTATCATTTAATTGCATGATTGCATATAGGTCCCGTTCATGGCGTACCACTTATCCAAATGGCCTTAAGTGTGTGCTTACAAACCGTGTGCAAACCGTGGTTTGAGATGTCTTTTTACGGGAATGTAGAGCACTTTTTCGGGCCAGACACATGCATTTGGCGCTCAGCCTGTCAGAGTTGCAAAACGAAATCAATCCTTACACAAGAAGACTGACATGGACCCTGAAAACCATTTGTGGCCATTGTCAGGGTCTATGTTAGTTTTCGGGAGTGTATCCTCCCCGCTGCGAGGACATTCTTTTCAAGTCCATCTTCCCTTCCTCGTTTGTGACCGCAGTGCGGACCGGGCTGAGGCAGAGACTGGCGACCGCTTCATGAACGAAGCCTGACTGCAGATCCGGCTTGACCGGAGGCAGAACAGGTCAAAGGTTAATATATCCCGTGTTCTAGGGTATCAACCAACCAATAGTGGGCTTCAATCTGAGCAATAGCTGCGTCTCCCGGACGCTGGTGCAAGTCAGCAACCACCCGGACACTCCGCGGCATGTGTTGGGAGCAGCTGTCCATGAATGGCTGTTGGGAGCAGCTGCCCAGATCCCCAAATTAAGGTAGATTGACCTTCTGTAGGTCGTCCATTTTGTTCATTGTCTCTGGTCAACCCAGGATCCGCCCAGTTTTGCCCCCCACACCTTTGACCTGAAAAACCACCCGACCTGTCGACCCATGACCTTTCACTTAAAGACCGACCCGTAAAACAACGCACACCGTGCGATGTTTTGGCAGGTCGAAGGGATCGAGGGAGAGAGAAACTTGCATGTTTTTGGGTGGGGGGCTGGTTGAAAGTTCGGGCTGTTCGAGCCAAATCATGTTGTTTCGGGGACGGTGGAGGCAATGCTCGTGGCGTGGCCATGGCGTTCCCAGGAAACTTCTTTGTCGCTCTTCCCGGCGGTTTGTGTGAAAGTCGACGGTCCGTCTCTGACCTTGGCATCGCTGGATCGTGAGGCGGATGTTCGCGGTGAAACACATGCGCGTGCCGCGACAAGCGACGTTGGTGAATTTCGAGTGAAACGCCTGCCAGCGAGGTGACAGTGTTTGCTTTCTTTTCTGGTGATGTTTTAGGATGTCGGTGATTGGTGGGGGGGCAGTTTTTACCTTCGAAACAAAGTTTTGCGGTGCATCATATCCTTTTAGGGAAGGGAGTGAAGTGAGGCCTCTCTTGATGAATAGGCCCCTTCTATAGATGGATGTTGTCAGGTGATATCTTGAGTTCCTTTGGGGATTTCATCAAGATCCGATATCAGTTCCAGTATGAACCAATTAGGCACGAAAAGGATGCACATGCATCAATAGAAAAAGAGGTGAATCCAGTTGCTCAAATAGGTTTGATTGAAGATCGCCTGGGTTGGTGTTTTTTTTTCTTTTCTCCAGGAGATCTTTTCACTTGGAGTGTCTTAATTGATGAATTAGAATCTGTAGAAGAAAACCGGCCAATGTGTGAATGGAGGAGTTTCTAGACGTGTTCTTTGACTCGCTGCCATGGCATTGTGGACGGCTACATTCTTGAATGCTAGGCTTTTCGAGTGCTACTTATGTACAATCATGGACTGACACAAAGGCTTCTCTTGATCATCATGCTTTCGGGGTCGTGGGTCAGTGCGGCTCAATACCTGGTCCCGTGGTCTCTCCATAATGATAATCCGTTGGACTACCAGATAATTTAGGTCCTGGTTCAGGTCATTTTGCTGGAGGATCCAGGTTTTCTCGTTTCCAAGTTCGCCCTCCAACTTCCTTTGATCCTTGGAGCACCAGTGGGAAGATTTACATAGGTGTGTAAACATAGGGGGGCCTCCCAAACACCTCCTAAAAGAAGGAAACATGACACACATTGTTGGGTCTCAATACACACCAGGACTCAGGACCCATCCCGCGGAACCTTGAGCTCGACTTCATCACCCCTGGGTGTCGATTAAGGCGATAGACCGACATACAGCGATCCGAAGTCTTGTCCCCGTTTGGCCTCCCGTACCGAACCGGTTCGGTGGGACTGGGGCGGGTGCCCGGGTGGTCGGGTCCAGTCATACCGCACCTCAGGTTCGACTGGAGGCCTAGGGGTCGTGTCATACCAATTCGCAGGTCTTTGGGATCCCAACCCCCAAATTAAATCCGACCCTCTCGAGGTACGATTCACGCGGAGACTCTGAGACATGTGACGGGCCCAGTCGAACCTGAGGTTCGGTACCACTGAGAAATACCCGGACCGGACCTGCTTTCATTTGCGACATCGCTTCGATCACGACCTCCGCTTGGAATCGCTTCATTTGCGCGGCTTCCTTCGATGCTCGGAGCTTCCGTCGCCGAACAGACGCTCCAGCGCGCCACGCGGCACTTCTACGCAAACGGCTTGGACTTGCCCAGCTTTGGACGGGTCTATGCTGAGGCGCAGCAGACAGCGGGGATTTTTCCCTGCCTTCTGAGGAATCTGAGATAGGAGGGCTATACGGAGGGTATTGAAGCTCGATGGAATGGATTCGGTCCGCACACCGCTCATGCCTTGGCGCTTTGCCCCTTCATTAGACTCCACATTTCAAGAGAGTTGTGGATAGCTGTGGTAGGTGCACAAAGGCCATCGTCCTTTTGCAGAAAGCATTTTACTTGTATCTGTGCTACCGGTCTACCAATTAAGCTATATCTCCAAAAGAACGGCCAACAGGTACGGGAGAACCCTCTTTCTTTCGTTTTCATTGAGTGGAATCCTTTGCGATTCCTTTGGGCGTTTCAGATTGCTTGGCGTCACTGTCCTACCCCAGAAACACACAGTGGCAGGGTGAGCGTGTTCACCTTCGCGGCACCTGCGGTTTGTGGCCATTCATATTTCTGAGACGCCAGGAGTAAGCATCAACATTCATCAACCACCTTCACTGAAACACAGGTTCGCTCTAGGCAGCCCATGCGGCATAGGCCATTCAAGGAGACGTTTTGCGCCTAGGCAGCTCATCAACCACCTTCACTGAAACGGTTCTTCGCCCTAGGCAGCTCATGCGGAAGATGTGTTCGTTCGGAGACAAAGCCTTGGCGCTCCTGGAGACGAACCAAACGAAGAGCTCTCTACGGGGGTCCAACGGGGACGTGGTCTTTAGGGGTCGTCCATTCCAGATTCGTGACCCTTTTTGGCTGCTCTAGGTTGTCTGGTGCTTTGCGGTGTACATGTTCCTACAACCCGTTTGACCCCTGTTTTGATGGGAAAAGACATGAACATATCATTTTCGGGGGTGGTGGCTGGTCCAGAGGTCATTCAGGTCCCTCAGGCTTTCCTGTTGGTCCGCACGCGTGCCGCGTGCAGGCGCAGACCAGTGGGGGGGTCCCCAGCTTCCAGGTGTCAAGCTCCCGGCGGTGTCTGGACCCCCCTCCTGCACGGTGTGGGACGTCCCAATGTTACTCCCCCATACACTAACATAGAACCTGAGAATGGACCCGTGGAAGACTATTTTCCTCTACAACCCAGTAGTTTGGGGGTTCCATGTGGTCCTTTGCACATTCCCATTCTCAGAAGGTACTTGGACCATCTTGGACCCTCTTGGCACCTACATAACAGTGTTTCCAACCACCTTCTGACAAGGTTACGACTGGATCCCTATAGGGATTCCACGGGACTGCAATATAATATGCCATACAATGCCATCCATTGGCCCCTGAAACCAGCCCCATGCCCGGACCATCCCGACCTGATTCAATTACGCCCTGGTCCCAGGAAAATTGGTTCAACCAGCTTTTGCGATAGTCATTGCGCAAACCTGATTTCGGGCACCGTACCTCCGACGTGTGTACGGTCGTACCATCGGTCGTACCAGCAGTTTCATGTTGGGGTGCTTAATGGAGGTTAAGGGTGCCCATGATCCACGGACCCCAACAAAAACTCCTTTGGAACTGGGAATTACTCTCCCTGGAACTAACATGGAAGTGGATGGCACCACCTGTTTGTAATGGAACATGACCTTCCAAGGGGCCGTTCTCCACCTCCATGTTAGTTCTAGGGAGTGTACAGTGTACCTGTTTCTTCTTTGGATCATCTCATATTTTCCAAGGCACGACCCGGTTCCTTCGGTCCAGCTGTCCGGCCGACCAGCTACACACCCCGTCACCGTCCACCGTCCAAGGCCGTTTTGCTGCTCCGTCGGGCGGCCCAGCAAACCGGCTCACGGAAACGGCGGTCGGGGTCGCAGGGTCTCGTGAAACGACCTGCGCGGATGGTGTTCAATTCGAGGTCGACCTGGTTTTGCTTTAAAGGGTGGAGGTTTGAATTGTCCCGATGGTTGTTGGTCGGGTTGGTCGGGAAAATCTCTCCATGGGGAAGGTTGTTTGAGCCAATTCGAAGACGTGTTTCATCCTGGCTCCACGATCCTGCCGGGCTGGATGGACAGCCCAAGCAAAGGAAGGAAAAGCCGAGCGTTCCTTTTGTGGGCTGGAGCGTTCCTCAAAAAGGGGAGGCCCTGCTGTGGAATATTTGGGTTGTGTTTGACGTGTCTCTCGCATCACACCCTACAAACTGGATAAATTGGCCATGCCACGTGAGTTCACATGACTGCCGTTCGCTTGATACCATGGCCCACTGTTGAATTTTTGTTCGATTGGAGCCGGGCAGTATGATGGCTTCTCGTGCTCATTGGATACGCAGACGCTTCTCCATCTCACTTGTGGTGGTCTCTGAACTTCTCGTTCTCAAACTCATCCTTGATCATGCCCACTCTGCGACTACCAGTTGCCTGAAGTTGGCTGACAGGATCATGGCTCCTGTGGTTTTCACAAGCCTTCAGGTGGCATATCATGTGATTCTTGAATGAGAAACTTTCTGATCGACATGAACTTCCCAAAAGCAAGGGGCTTTGCTTTTCACCTCTCTCACACCGTCGCTCCTCTCACCTGCTCACCTTTTGTTTCACCTGAGGTCTTCCCATCCTCAGTTTCTGTTGTTTCTTCTTTCGTGTGACCCTGGGCCTGACCCAAATACGGGCTTTGAGGGGAAAAATGCATGCTCATTATGCGTGTGCTTTTCATAAGAAGAACGAAGCGGGCTGGCTTGGGTCCGAACATGAAAAATGCCCTACACACCACAGAGCATCCGCTGCAGGTGTTTTCTCGCTCGTTTGAGTAGCTGAGCAAAGTTTCAGTTGCAAAAGTCTAGATCTCAACTGGCAGAAGGCAGCAGTTCCTGAGGAGTGTGGCAAGGATTTTGAAAGGAATCAGTGCGGCACTGTTTTATTTTAATTAACTTGAATGTATGCTAATCATACAATTGCCCCTGCGGTAAAACATGTTAAAAAATTGTTTAGCTTGTGGTGCTATTTGTGCCCACTAGGCAGAAAAGAGCAGGAAACACAAGGTGCCTTGACCAACAGCTGTGACAGGCATGATGTTGTGCCGCATAATATATTGGACTGCCAGCATGGGAATGGGATGGAATGGGTGTGTGATTTATGAAGTCCCCCATTGTGCCCATACACGGCTCTTTTTTCGAGCTGGCAGATGGCAGGAAACAAATCTCAATGCTTTCCCTGGTTGCAAGTTCTATCACAATGCTTTTGTTCCATGAACATTCCCCTTCTCAAGTTTTTTTCACTCACATTTGTCCACGCGGATTCACCACAAAAATGCCAAACAGTTTCAACTGTCCTCCCTGACCCTCATGTGCTGACGGCGCTATGCGAGCGTGGCTGGCTCTCGTGTGGCTTGCGACCGCCCGCGCGCAGCTGACCAACCTAGCGTTGGGACGGGTGCCTTGGCACGGCGAACGTGGTCCACTGTGAAAAAAAAGGAAACAACAAGGATATTGCGACCTGGTTTTGTGTAGCTGGTTTGTTTGGTGGATTTTTTTTCGTTGGTTTGTTGGGTTGGTTTGTTGTTAAGGTTTTAGAGTGTTTTGTTGCTGGTGCGGGGTTGGTGGTCAGAGTACGTTTAACTGAGGAGGTGTGAGGGTTCCATAATAATATAGTGTATACAAAGATCACGTACTGAACGGATCCACCCAAAACATCTCCAGTTTGCTCTTAGGAACAGTCTTTTCGGAGCAAACATGATGCATGGAATAAACGTTTCACCGTTTTTTATACACTCTACTATTGGCAGTGTTTTCTAGATCGTAACGTTCCCTACCAACGTTTCATGCCCCTGCCCAGCTCTTCCCGGTTCTATTTTGGTCCTCAAATGTGAATGTAACAGGCTTTGGCATTCTGAACCAACCAGAACCTTCAGTTCGTGACCTTTTTGGAGTTTTATAAGTGACCTTCTACAGGCCTAAGTGACCTCATCCTGTGATCTCAAAAGGTCACTTTGAAGGTCCTGGATTTGTTCATCCCTACCAAGGGATCACTACGACTTGAAGAGAGATCACCCGAAAGAATTAGACTTCAATATGCAGTGCATGAGACCAGATGCTTTAGACCCCCATGTGACAAGTCTTCAACGTCCGACCTGTTGAAAACAAGCATCAATGTACACACTGCATATAGAAGTGGAACCTGTCGAACAACATCTCACTGCTTCAACACTACGTTGCTGCTTCAGCATTTGACCTGACAGACGAAAAACATGTAGACCGAATCGAATCTCTGGATACCCCTGTGGCACTCAGGGCTCCGACTGGTTGGGAATTGAGAAGAGCCAGGAGTCTCATTTTGATACCTTTCGTTTTGGTAGGACTGGTGGTGTATTCAGTCCATGTCGCTTCGGTGGTGTGGTGGGCGAGCGAGCGTTTGGGGTTCGCCCTACCAGCGGCCCGAAAAAACCTACGCAAAAATCCGTGGTTTTCAGGTCGGGAAAAGCCTGGGTTTTGATGGTTTCCAGGACCCTAGTAACAGGGTTCGTGTTCGGCCTGTGCCTCTGCCCCAACCTCGCTGGTGGAACGTTCGTTCTCCGAACAGGTGCCCTTTGGCTCCGCAGAGAGCTATGCACAGGGCTTCGAAAAGGCGGATCGGGCCCGCGCGGGGCGTCGATCACATGGAGGAGAGAGATATGGCGCTGGGGATCCACTGCCACCCTCTTTTCGGTACGGTGATGCGTTCGACACTGTTATGTAGGTGCCAGGAAGCGTCAGGTCCAGCTACCGAACATGAGGTTCGGTACAACTGGATCTTAATCGACTGGGTTGTAGAATGGTACACTTCCTGAAAGAAACGGAAGTGGAACGAAAAGGTGAAAACCACCTGATTTGGATCTGTTTGGGGTCTCAGAATCATGCTTGGTCTTCGGGCCGTGGCATCCACCTTGCACCGGGTCGTCCTGCCAGGGTCCTAAAACCTGAAGATCCTCGCTCTATAGCTTGTTCTTCAGCATCCATATTCAGACACTCCATGTATGTCAATATTGACCTTGGGCCATTAGGGTGAGGGTAAATCTGCCAGTCCCATGGAGTGTCTGGGTAAGTCATTCTGGTGAAGCTTAGGTTGACCTGGAGTGCCAGTCCCATGGAGTGTCTGGTCCCAAAAACCTCACCTTCACCTGCCAGGTCACAGATGGAGATCTCACCAGCCAGTGGAGCTCCCACGCACGGCCGCCGGTCACCACAAGGCACCGATTTAGCGAAGAGTGGGGGGTGAGGGAGGGAGGGAAGGAGGGAGGGGAGGGGAAGGAGTGAGTGGGCGGTGAAAAGGTCCAGACAATTCATGGGAGTTGCAAAAAAGATGACCTCCATTAACCTCTTTTCAACCACCCCCAATTTATAGGTAAGCATTCCAGATAATGCAGTGTTAGGGACCCCTGGTATTCCAGACATGGAGGGTTTGGGAATGTCCCACCTTAAGTGCTATTATTTGTGTACTTGGTGCGGAATCCAGAACTTGGTCAATGTAGCGGCTTCCTGGACAGCAAATCAAAGTTGATGGACATGTTCGAGAATGTCCAAAACTGCCACCTGTAAGTCAGTAAACTGCCACCTGTAAGTCGGTAAACTGCCACCTGTAAGTCAGTTTTTCGTCTATAGAAAGGCAACATATCCAGGGTATTGATTTATCAGGACTCCGGAGCCATTGAGCAGAAGCCAGGACTGGTATTTGGATGACATTCGTCCAAGACTCACTGTGATAGGCCGATGATGGCGAGGTTCTGACATTGATTCTGATGACATCATAGGTGGTGACAAGGAATCCACTGGTTTTCTTGTTCTTTGTGTGGCGGCTCTACGTCTTGCGCGGATAGGACCTGGTGGGGAAAGGGGGGACCTTGACGTTGGACAGAGGGTGTTCATTCCTGGTCCCCACACCCACTGCAGTGCAGGTCCCCAAACCCTCCTGGCACTCCTGTATACAGTTAAGAGAGTGGACTCCACCCCAATCAGTCTCGAGTCTCTCCAGTGCTTGAGAGTCCTTTCTTGTCAGCCTCCCTGTCGTCCGTGGCGGGGCGGTGCCGGCGCCTGTGCCAACACTCTCAGGCCGGCCTGGCGAATACCTGAGCCCGCTTTCGTGCAGGTGCTATGCAGTGGTTTGAAGCTGTTGGGTTTGGTGTTGGATGAACAGTCCAAAGCTAGCTCATGGGGTCTTCTTGTTCAACAGCACACAGGATGAAAAGGAAACGCCTTGGAGACCTCAAAGCAGGGGCAAGGTGATACCTGTTTGATCCTTTTTGCATACATAGCATGCCCACACCCTAAAGACTTCGTGTCAATGTACGAAGTTAGGATGCCTAACTCTGTAACCGAAACTCTAGGACAGGTCTTCGGCGACCAGCGGACCGAAAGCAATCTGCGCCACCCGAGGCGCCACCTGTCGCCTCTGTCGCGACCTGGCGGCTACCTGACTTCAAGGAGTGCCTTGGAGACGTCGGTGTGCTTTTCATTGAAGAAGACATCCATCTGGAAGCACCCAAGACGAGTAAGAACCCCAGGGGGGTCACATACATACCTTGTTTTCGGAGGTTAGTAGTCTGGGTTCGTAGTGCCCAAGACATAAAGCCAAAGATCCCCACTTTGGGGCTTCTTGTTTTTCACTGTGCTTTCGATGTCTTTCTTGAACAGAAGGTCTACCTGGCTGAGGGTTGTCTTTGATCTCCACATTTGGTTGTTGCTGTTTTTGCAAGCAGAGACAGACAAATCACAATGGCAACGTGTTCTTCCATCATCATATTTTACTGAACATGTGGTTGTCGATCTAAAGGTCCTAGTCAGCAGTGTGTATGACGATGACCCGGAACATATCAAAATCTCATTTGGCGAAAGTTTTTTCTCGAGTTGGCGAAAGTAAATTATTTTTTGGCGAAAGATCTGGCGAAAGATTAAATATGTACTTTTGTATGAATGTTCATTTGCTTTCTGAACAGCTGGTGGCAGTGACTCAGTACGACTATCACTACGACTACTACGACGACTACTACTACTACTACTACTACTACTCCTGCTCCTGCTTTGGGGGGGTGGATTTGCCACAAAACTCTACCCCGCAAAAGGCGAAAGTTTGGCGAAAGTTCAGCTCAAGATTGGCGAAAGTTCACCTTGCCACATCTGACCCCCAGCCCATTATGAGTAAGTTTGAGTGACCGGCTACTACAGTGATTCTTGCAATTTTGATTCTTGCTGACACCCAGGAGAAACAAAAGAGACGTACAGGGTGTCAACAGTTAAGTAGAAGACACATGCTGACAAACAGTGAAGTTTCTATTTTGTGTTTGCCAGTAAAGAAGAAGCCATTGACGTGGACAAAACACAACATACATGGCACACATAAATACAACGTACTTCGGCGAAAGATAAAACGCAGGAAGGCGAAAGTTTGGCGAAAGTAAATTTTTTTTGGGCGAAAATGACGGATCCCGGATAAAGGAATTTAGATCAACTCCCATGTGCAAACAGAACCGATAGAGCAAATTCATCAAGTATATAGATCGTTTTGCATGTTGGACATTTGTCAAGAGTTGATCGTGCTATGGGAGATAGAAAGAGCTGAGGATGCTTGGCGATTATCCCGGTGTCCTGCTTGTGGATCTAGGGGCTCCCTCACAGATCGTCACTTGGAAGTTGATTTGGCGATTCGGGAGTTTGTCCTCGGCATCATCCCAGGCAGTGCAGAACATTCCGGATACATACATACATATAGTCTAGTAATAGTATCATATAGTCACCCCCCCAATTGGCTAGAACAAATGGATCCGCCTTAAACATTGACAACATGTTTCTTTTTTTATTTTTTTTCGGCACCGTGTTTGCTCTTTGCAGTTGGGCATGAGGCGCTCGCACACAAGAAGAAACTTCCTGGTTGGTTTGAAAAGCAGCAAGATGGTTGAACTCGAACTCATTTGGTTCCTCCCATGCATCTTTGTTCCTCATCCTTTCCTCGGGTCGGGAGAGAGGACTTGAGAAACATTTGTGGTCTGATACGTGGGAGTCCACCCACCACCCAACTTAGAGGCATCTAGCCATGGATGGGCCACACACCCCCCCGGTACCTTGCGAGCTGTGACACTTGGCTTCAGAAGTGTTGCTCAAACCCCTAAAGCACCGTGCCAATCTCCCCAGTACTGTTCTGTTTGCTCGGTCCATGGCCGGTCTACCCACGTACGTGAGAACTGATCCACCGTGGAGACACGGTCCCCACTCGGGGCCAGGCGAGACACGGTCCCACGCCCGGGTCCCCCCAAAAAAGGAACCTCTCTTGGAGCCTACAGATTGGTACCTCCAGACTCTTCTGATTCGAGACCGACTTCTTTTGAGATGATTCGGGGCCTCTTCCCCCCTTGGAGCGGTCCCAAAGGCCTTTTTGCACCTCCCGTGGCTGCTCGTTTGGTTGTCTACCGTCATCCAATTCGCGACCCCTCCACGTCCAGCTCCGCTCGACCTCAGGATCACATGCGGCTCTACAGCGCTGTAGAGGCCGGCGGCTTCGAGACGTTGAAGGTCTACTGCTCCGTGGATGGTGACTTCGGCTGCCACAAAGGTCAAACCGTCCGAAGGCTCTGCACCCGTGCGCACCTACCGGTCCCCCAGGCACTCCACCGGTCCGATCGAACCGCGCCCCCGTTCGGTTCGCTTCTTTAGGGGCGGGAGCCGGTGGACCGGACCTGGCCGCAGTGAAAGAGGTCGACACATCGGGGTCCAAATGGAGTGTAGGCGTGTTGTTAGCTGCATGCCTGGGACAGTGGTCCAGGATTTGACAGAGATTCAAGAACCCTAATACTTTAGTTGTAACTATTGGACTATCTGACTATCCCATACTGTAGAAACTTAGTAGGGTCCCGTAAGGTCACTTAACCGACTTAAGATATGGGACGGGGACGGCTCCCTCGGCCTCCCTCCCCAAGATCTGGGCCCCGGAGGTTCATGGAAGCCTTCTCGCCGTCTTCTCATGTCCAGGGGTGCATAGATCTACCACATTGCATGCCGTCAATGACCCAGATGATGGACGATAAAAGATGTGATTGATTGGATGCTTCCAGATGTGACTTGAGGTGTTTGCTTTCCATACAACATCTTCTACATTCATAAAGAGTTTCAATCCGGCTACTGCGTCCTACCCAGTCAGTGGATAACATTTAACCTTTTGGGGGGGCGGGATTCCCCACTAAACATGAAGAGGTGCAAAAAGTTAAGCTTTATTACCAGAACAGCTGGCGCATGCGCCATATGTGATGGGTTGTCCTCAATAGACAGACCGTCAGTGGGGTAGGTGCAAGTGCTATGTGTTTCTGTTGGCTAACCATCACAGATGACAGAATTCATTTGCATTCACCTGCAGGCTTCAAGGCCTCAATACATCTCAATACATGACTTCAAGGCCTCCAGAAAGAACGTTCTTTCCTAAGAAAGCTGCTAGGAAGATAGCGGGTCCAGCCTAGTCGGTTGTAGCCGGAAGCACCTCACATCACTGCAACGACTGGAGCGACGGGCGAAACCAACGACCGACGGTCGGGATGAGGTTTGTCCTGGCCACTGGTGCGTGCGGAGAGCAATCGCTTCCATTGTAGTCCAGGCTGGGCGGAGTCTGAGTTCTGCTAGCAAGTGAGGTGTGCCTTTAAAGAGGGAACCCCCCACCAACGGGTTACGGTCTGTCCTTCCAGGGGGTCGAACTGGGTGGTTTCCCTATTTCAATGCGTTTCACCTGCAAGCCTCGCATGCTGTACGAAGTACGGGTGAGTTTCTGGGGTCGAAGACTGACAGATGCTTTGATTTGTGGCACTTCCTGCACTTGCTGGAATCTAGAAAACACTGGATGCATGGCGAGATATTCTTTGTTGGCAAGGAGTAGTTTTGCGTGCCCTGAGCGATGACACTGCTTGCAATGACTCATACTTTTCAGGTGGGTCGAAACCAACCAGAAAAGATCGTGATGTGTTACTTTTACTTCCGCTCTTTGAGTCATTTGTGTGTTAATGGTTAACACGTTGCTTTAGCTGTGAACGAACACTTGTCCGACTTGTCCTACCATGTCCTACCAACTTCTAGATACGGCAAGCCACCGCTAGTGATAGATCATCCACCCAAGATGTCCTTCTCGCGCCAGCAACACCTCCACGGATCGCCCAAGCACCTCACATCAAATCACCTTGAACCCCTACAGTCCCTGCACTGCATCAGTCTTCGAGGTGTCATGAGCCACCATCATGGCTGGCCTGAAGAAACGCGCTATGCGGGGCCACCCAAGGTGAAGAGTGGATGTCATTGTCCTGGGCCCCCCATTGTGATCGTTGGCTTTCGAGAGGAGAACCAGTGTGATTATATAGAAGTGTTCGTTCGGTAAATAGGTGCACTTTGCACAATTTCATCGTGCTATTCTTGGACTGAAATGCGGAACAGAACTATGGACCATGGTGAGAAGCTGGCTCTGGTACAGATTTGCCACCATCTTTTTTTCTGGGAGGATTGAGCTTTGTGTTGGTGGGTGAGCTGTCAGGCTGCCCGTGATGTCCAACCTTTCGGATGGCTGGAAGCCTGTTTGGTGGCGGGGATACAGCTTTTGGCCACAGAGAAGCTTCTGATTCTTCCACAACTCAAAGTTGTTGGATGTGCCAACCAATGCCCAGACACTCCATGTATGCCTTATATGCCGATCAATTGACCCCCAAAACCACCCCAACTGATCGGCATATATGGCATACATGAATGGAGTGTTTGGGATGGATGGGTGTTTCATGTATTTGCATCGGGTGGATGTGAGTCCATTGGTCATGTGTGATCATGTCCTCCGATCAAACCACGTCCAAAGGCAGGGCTTCAAGAGTACCTAGAACCTAGAATTCGGTTAGGGGATTGCCAGCAAACCCCCATGGCCCATATACAGATCTTTTACCATGCAAATGTGGAGGTTTTAGGAATTCAGATTCTGAATATACTAATTATAAGTATTTTAGTATTTTCCTCTTCAAGTGCACCACCCGTCACCACAGGTCCAGTTTGACCCAGGTCCCGAAAACCTCAGAGAAGGGTGTTTTTTCTATGACCAGTCCTGAAGTCAAACCAGTCCTGTCCTCCTTTCCCTGTCCGTCACTGTCCTGCGAAGGAACGACTTCCAGGGTTCGAGTCGCTCAGGTTCTCCTGGAGATGCAAGACCGATGCTCAGGACGTCATCCACGTGATCAAGAAGACTTGGTTCTCCTGGGCTTCATTCGAAGCGCCCAGGCCTTGGATCTTGAGACATGAACATACTGTCGGCAAAGGTGGTTCGTTCGTCATATAGCCACAGGGCTACCCACTTTTATTCACCAGGTCAATCATTGTTGTTTGCTTATGGTCTTTGTGAAGAAAGGGGATCCCGGGGTTGTTGAGAAGGAAAGGAGGGCTGCTGCCTCAAACTGCACACGGAGAAGACCTCTTCATTTGGATCTTTTCTGGGAGATCCGGCCAGCCAAATCTTCTCACTTTCTTTGGCCAAGGCATCCAAGACACACCCTCAAAACAAAGCATCCACCACGCAGGTCCTTGATGTTCATGTCCGCACTTGCCTAGGTTATTGAACACGCAGGTCCTTGATGTTCAAGTCCGCACTTGCGGTTGAACCAAAAACACGCTCCGGTCGATGTGTTTTGGGCGGAACCTTCAACATCCCATCCTCGACAGCGGAGGGTCACGCGCTCCCGGTCCCGCGCTGAGCCGCGCTGAGCCGCGCTTCGCCGCAGGAGTGCACCGTCCCGGGCGCTTCGCCGTGGCGGAGTGGGAGATTTGGGGCGCTCCCAGGCGGCCAAGTGAGTGGAGTAGCTGGGCACCCCTAACCTCCATTAAGCACCCCTTTGTGACAGCTGGTACATGTGTTTAGTTTCTTTTGTGTTAATAGTGTTGATGCACAGTTGGGTGTGTGGGCTGTGTGGGTCAAGAATGTATCGACCAGTTGATTGGCCCTATATAAGAGGTTCTCGCTTGGTGACAGGAGGATGCTGGAAGCTAGCTTCGGGAGTTGGGCCCCGTCTCGCACGCACGGCGCGCGGGTTCTCGCATCGCGTGCGGCAGGGTGGAGATGGTGCCCTTCTTGTGGCGCTCCTGGCCGAAGTGTATGGATCTTCAGTGCCACAGATGAAAAGGGAAGAAGGACGCTTCGACTTCGGTTTCCTTTGACCTCGCCTCCGGCCGGCCAGCCCTCGGCTCTCGGCTCGGTCCGGCGCGCCTCGGGGCACGGTGGCGCCAACCCGTAACGTAGTGGATTACAGGGTGATGGCAGAAAGAGTTCGTCCACACCTCCGGGGGGTTGGAGGGTGAAGATCTCGTGGAGGACTGGACGCAGCTTACATGTCTAAGACAAGGGCCATCTCATTGGCAACTGATAGAAACGAACTCATGAACAAAATGACAGTTCATGAACATTCACACCCAAGGGTCCTCTTGCTCTCCTTCCCGAGGCCTTGCTTTGCCTACTCGGAGCTAGAGCAAACCAAGCGAAGCTGCCTGGTGCGCTCAGCTCAGCTGCCGGGTTCCGGTGGGTGAGTGGCTTCGGAACGGTGGCTGGATCCCGAGGCTGGTACAAGATGCGTTCAGATTCATAGAGGTCCTATGCCTATCACTGTTATGATTGGAGGTCTACAGATCTCTACAGGTCATCTGAACTGTTACTGTATGTACTTAGTTATGTTTTTCGTTTCTCCTAGACCCCCCTGGCACCCACCCCAACCACCGAACCTCAGGAGGTGGGCCAGGAGCCCAAACGGGATATACCTGTAACAGTCAGGTGTACCATGTGTTACGTCCATGTTGGACCGTCCCACCGTCCCAGCTGCTTCTCCCGGGCGGCCTCGGGGTCACCTGGCTGGAGGAGGTCTCCGGACAGTTCCGGAAGTGCGAAGGGTTGGTTGGGTCGGTCCGTTCTTACATGTAAGGACCCAGTAAACAAGAACATCACTCCCAGACACTCCATGTATGCCATATATGCCTACATTGGGGTGGTTTGAGGGGTCAATGTAGGCATATATGGCATACATGGAGTGTCTGGGACTAATATGTTTGGAAGAGTCAGTAAACATTGCAACTGAAGCATCATCCAGGGCCCAGGTATTAGGATAGACCCAATCTAGATGGTTTCTTGAATGTCTTTGTTGCATTACTGTCACAGACACTCCCTGTATACTGTATAGTTGTCTACATTTGGGGGGAGGTTTGCGGGGTGATTGTAGGCTCAATATGGCTCAATCACACTTGTTTTTTCTGGTTTATGGGCGCCCATCTAATGTCTAAAGGACATCTTGAGGTCTGCTCCATTTACTGAAACCACTGTAGGTGTATTCGTCATGGTTACCTTGGAACAAACTTATCGGAATCCATTGAGACCAGGTGCTTGCACAGAAGGTGAACTTCGGGCCTTCGGGCCATGGAACATGTTCCGCATGTGGGGATGGATGGGAATGAGTTGCTAACCATGTATACTGTATACATGGATCAACCGTTTCTTGGGCTAGACAGGCCATGAAGGGCTGTCCCCAACGTTCGAACAGTATACAGTATACCTAGGTACCTGGACCCTCCAAAATACCTTAGAAAAAATGGGACATGACCCCATAAAAAATATAGGTACGACCGTACCCATTTTCCAAGGTACGAACGGGTCGGCTCCTAGGTCAATGGACACTGGGAAGTACGCTGGGAAGTACGCTGATTCAGCTCGACAGAGCTCGACGATGTGTTTTTTTTGATCCGATTCAACCTGCAGGGCTTTGTTCATGTCCAGGGTGCTAGAACTGAGCAAGACAGTCTATGGCGTATGCAAGAGGAAAGAGGCGCCAGAACTGAGCAACCAACCAGCACCATTGGTACTGTGCAGTACGTCAACACCTTTTCCCTGGATGAGGCCATGGAGACATCTAGATTGGTGAGGACATGAGGACATGTCCCCTTACAGCCAGCAAGGTAGGTCCATGACTGAGGTGTTTCATGGTGTTTCTGTTCTAAGCTTCCAAACACTTCAATCCTTTTCAGGACATGGGTGTGTATTAAAATAGTGAGATCTCCCAGTTCGACCCCATGGAAGAAGGAAGACAGACCAGTCTACCCCTTGGTCCAGGTCTCCCTATGAATACACACCCACATCTTGCCTTCAAACCTGGGACTACACCACTTCCCGTCTCACAGGCCGACGACGCCTGCGACGGCTTCTCCTTTTCCTCCGAGCGGATGAAAGGCGGTAGCGGTAGTGGATGTGGCTGGGCCTACATACCGGGGCTTTTTGGTTGAAGGGAGTGTCCCAAATCACCGACATTAAGGTGCTATGGATTTAGACACCCCGTTTCATGGACCCTGGTATATATATATATATATAAGAGGGCATGTGAGTGGGCATGTGAGGGCAATAGTTTTGACCTCAAGATACTTTGAAGGTAAATGATATAGAGAAGATGATTCGCTCTGGAGAAGATGATTCGCGGGCACCTGGCCGTGAGAGCACAATCCCATGAGATTCCATGAGTGACTTGGTAGGTGTATTGTCAAGCTGTCTAGGACGTTCAGCTTTAATGGCATTCCTTGCGAACTGGGGATGCAGAAGAGGATCCATTGAAGGGCACAGTTTGGAGACGTTGAGTGTTGAGAAGCCTAGTGAGTGGTTCAAACATGAACTCAACCCGCAAAGCCTTTTGGCTACAGACTGTCTTCCCAATCCCCTCAGTGCATAGACACAAGTTCAGGCTTAGCCGGTGCCTAGCAGTGCCTTTCAATGCCTGTGCTTAGAGCTCCAAACAGATCTACCAAATTCCTCGAAATCAGTGGGTCGCGTAGTGTAGATCTTGGGAGCAGGGTCGAGTATCACTCCAGAGCAACTTGTACGGGTACCGCGCCCTGAAAGAGTCACCACCACCTGATTGTAGAGAAACATGTTCTTCCAGAGGCCCGCACCAAAATACACTTCCATAATTTTAAAGGAGTGTAGATAGATAGTCGTAGCAAAATACACCTGGGTTCCGAGACCGGAGCCATGCCAGGGAACCGGTGTCAACCCCTCCACAGCAACTCGCTGGGTCGAGGCTGACCGATCTCTGAGGCTTTAAGACTCGGTGTCGTGGCTATGAGGAGGTGAACGGCACAGCTGCTTGGTCAAGCACTTTTTGGAGCACAGGGAGGGGAGATCCGCTATACGTACCAAGAGGTCTGGATCCAATGTATCCTGTAGCCAACTTCTGAAGAAGGTACCTTTGGGTAGAAAGCCTCTAGATGCGACGAACCCCAATCCTCTGGAGGGGTCTGGTGTCGAACCAATCGCTAGGTTTTGAGGGACCGGTCGGGCTGTTTGGAGTGTCTGGGTGAACGTATGTTCTTCGCTGAAGATCAAGCGCACCTTTTTAGGCCCCAATGGTTCAATTGGACACTTACATATCTTTCACGGTCACTGAGGATCACAATAATTCTGTTGGTTTAAACTTCATTTTACCAACTCCTATAGGGATCCAGTCGTACCGAACCTCAGGTACGGTGATGTGTTCGACACTGAGACATGAGACGGTGCCAGCCACTCGGCTCCAGTTGTACCGAACCTGAGGTTCGGTACCTCCCTGGATCCCAAGAGAGGTGGAAAGTGACCGTAAATAGGACCTGAACCTGGGGTACCGAACTGGGATAAGCGAACTAGGGTCCTTCAACCTCTGTTGGTGGATGTTCTTCGTTGGCACCGGCCGCCCTAGGAGCGGCTCGCGCTGCCGCCCGTGCCGCTGGGCCGTGGGAGCTTCGGTTACTGGGCCAAGCGTCGATGGCCATGGCCCTTTATCGGTGCTTAATGCTCCACGCCAGCTGGAGTAGGCGACAGTGGCAGGGCGCCGAAGGGAATGAAGATGAGTGAAGTGTGGGGGGGGGAACACTGTAATTCATGTATCCCTGGGGCTTCCCTAGAAGGTGGTTAGACCCTCGACCCCCTAAACCCACCCCCAACATCCCCAACCATCTAGTCAGGAGCTAGTTGGAACCCTAGGGTATATCAATTCCACGTTCCGTAGTTCTTCGATCGGATGCTGCGACTTGAAAGGCGTTTCCTTTCATCCAATGAAGACCGGCAGAGTCGGTGTTGAAAGAAGAGCAGGATTTGTTTGTCACAGTCATAAGATCAGGAGAGGACTGAGATGGGGCAGGGCCCACCACTGGGGTGAAGAGATTGAATCTGTATTGATCCACCTGGTTCTTCTGTTGGTGACCGATCTTGATATCCGTTGATATCCCGGTTGGTTCGCTCACAAACAGGCCTGTTTGACAGGTCACTGGCTGGGCCTGAAGAGAAGGTCACTGACAAGTGCTTTTGCTGGAGGCTGGCCTTCGAACGAAGAAGATGTTGCTTCTGTTGCTGAGCTTCGTCGACAGTCCTCGCGCTGGATATGGCTGATCCAAGAACTGTATAAATACTAAAAAGGATCTTTGTATTGTAATGAATTATAGTACTATCATTGTCACCGAACATCCAAATTCCCTTGGTTAGACAGGCATACTCAGAGTTCACAGAACGCATTGATCAAGAATCATGTTTCCGATTCCCCTGAAAGTGTTTGCAGTGTTTGCAGTGTTGATGTTCCTTCAAAGGACTTGGCAGGTTAGAGGGCGAGCCCTTTCACCCGTGCAAACAGCTTTTGTAAGCCATCATAAGCTATCCTCATGCTATCCTCATCTATCCTGGGAAGTAGTTGTTCCAAATCTATTGTACTCTCCATCCAAACATGGACGTGGAACATGGCCCTTGGAAGATGGTTTTCCTCTACCAACAGGTTGTTTTGTACGTTGGAGGGAATTAAGTGCATAGGGCCTAGGGTTCTGATGAAGCTACCGCAATAGAATCACGGGCCTCGCCGTGGCGCGATTCTATTGTGGCCGGGCTTGTCTTATTAGACAGAGAGTCAAACGTGTGGCAGTGTGGATCCTTAACTCAGCAATCACGTTGTCCATTGGTAGAATTGATTCCGAATAGCATAGTATCCGTTTCAAAGGTGGTTAGAGTGGGTGCCAGGGGGGGTCTAACCACCTTGTGAGGATATGGGACAGTAACCCTATAGGGGTTATAACATTTACATGTTGCATATGTTTTTCTACTTCGGGCAGCTGACTTCTGGATCATGAATCTGCGCGGACGACTGCGCGTCGCCAAAGCGCAGCACGCGCAGCGTAACAAACCGGGCTCTCTTTGCAGCGGCCCATCGTTGGCACACAAAGATCATACAAAGATCAGATCAACCCCTCAACTGAAATCCATCTTCATGGAGTCTGCCTGTTTGTACCTCAGAAAATGGGTAATTGGAGTGATACCTGTTTTTGTAAAGTAGGGTCATGTCCCATTTTCTAAGGTACTTTGGAGGGTCCGTCTTGTCTTGAACACTTTCCCTCGTCATGTTCAATCCTGTTGCAATGCCTGCAAGCTGGTATCTTTGGGTCCAGAAACAGGTGATGTTTGCAATAGCTTGCCCATGAACTGTAGGTGTCATGATCGAAAGGCGCAGTCTATGCCATGTCCATGACCTGGCAGCACGTGACGAAAGGCTTTCACCGATCAGTGCCAAGGGATTGATCAAGTAGCTACTGAATCTCCAGGAGCAACAGGCGGGGTATGGTTTGTTTGTTTGACTCCAAGAGGTCTGTTCAACTCACCTGCAACAGAATTAGAACGTGCTGTAGACCACATCCTGTTGTGACCAATGATTGGGTCTTGCCGAGTTGTCCTTCTGGATCTGATACCCGAACGCTCCGGCAAAGGGATGAGTGGAACCCTCGGAGAAGTGACCGGGGTTCTCCAGTTCGGGGTCACCTGATCCACACGGGGGGCGTGGGCACATTGGTCAGGAGATGTGAGGACGGTCGTGAATCACAATCAAACGAGGCAATGCAAGACCAACAAGGAGAAGAAGTCATGTTTGTGGGCCTTGGTGGAGGAAGAAGACATCTTGTATTTGCAACAGCAACCTTTCAATTTGGTGGCTTCCCGATTTGTCTGATGCTGCCTCAAGTTCAATTTCTAGCAGGGACCCAGATTGCGTTCACTGGTATGAAATGCGGGAAGTTTCAAGGCAGCAGGGCACCTGAACACGTTTGATAATGCTGCTGCCGCCGCTGCTTCTCACTGTAGCAAAGTCACTGAAAGAAACACCAATGCTGTATTTCTTCCGCAGCCAAAAGAGCACCTGCTGGGTGAGCCCAATATTCTCGTGGTTTAAAGAAGAGATCCTCAAAATGAGGAAATCTCCTGCTACTTCGGAGCCTCCTGCTACTTCGGATCCCACTTTGGCTACCAACCTTGATCAGCTAGTCGTGCCATCGTTTCAGAACGAACCTGACATCCTGGCGTGGAACCTTTGGGGATTCTTTGGAAGAAAAGCCCAAACGCTCCACCATGATCCTGGAGGCCCTTATATTGAGACAAAGCGCCAGAAACAGAAGGGGCGACGTGGCTGTTGGGACTGTTTTCATCTTGCAAGGACTGAATCTGCGCTTGTTGGGACAAACACTGACAATCCATGGCCACATGCTGCCACGTGATCCGCTTGAGATGAACATTCAACTTGATGACAGGAGTTGGATCCTGTGGGTATCCGGAGTCTGGTCCGTTGTTCAAGGTGTTTGTTTAGCTTGCCTCAAGACGAGGTGTTCTGCGGAAACCCCGGCGGCCAGAAAGCTGAGGAGCACAGGTGAGCCTACAGGTCAATGAAATCGTTTTACTTTTACTGGGTCAGACTGGACTTGTAGGGAGAATGTTGAGTCTTTTTTGGCCAAATTTTACGGCAGCAGTGATCAAACATGAATTTACCACAATTTACGCATTTAGATACACCTCCAAAACATGTCAGTCAATGGTTCCAAACACCTTCAGATCTATCCTTAAGCATTCAAAAACCTGCTGAGGAGCTAGTTGGAGCTCTAGGGATCTCTAGGGTGTATATTATATAATATTATATATATATATATACCAGGACCCTCCTGTCGGGGTGCCCTGTCTGGACGCCTATAGGTATTGTGGGCTAGTCCATTCAACACCCCGACAGGAGGGTCCAGGTATAACCGCAAAGAGGTGGCTCCTCCACGCCGTTGCTGTTCCGCGACTGACGTCAGGAAGTCCTCCGATCAGTCTCTACGTCCGACGTTCGACCGGAGTGGCTCACCGACGTGATCCGAACAGGTTCAGTGCAGTTTGGGTGTTGGCAGAGTTACCAGTGCTTTCAGAGGCTCGATGGCACCAGTTAGCCACAAGTCTGTAGGTGGTTTATATGGACCCCCATCTCCCATCTAAAAGACATGCTGTAGGGGTGCCAGTGCCATCTACTCTGAAACCACCGTATTTGATTTTATGTTATAGTTGGTATTGGTTGGGTTTTCCTAGCGGCTTATTCAAGAAACGCCTCCAGTCCTCCTTTGCAATTCCACTCATTTCACTGTACATGTTTAAAATCTCATCACATGAAGTGTATCTCTCGCGCTAAGGGACGCAGCAGCAGGCACGAATGTCTCAGGGTGACTGGTGCAGCCGGGCCTTGCTTGGCTGAGGCTGAGTCCATCAGGCCTTGTTAACATAACATGTTTCAGGTGTGCTTTGCTTTATTGTTTGCAGGGAGAAAACAACTTCTTTGCCCTATGTCCAATCTCACACTTTGCTCTACTTGTGGCTGCTGAGGGAATCACCATGTAGTCCCCTGTCACCATCATCCTCTCATTGGAGAGGTGATCCTCAAGTGAAACGATGCCCGTATGTACTACTTATCAATCCCATGATGGGACTCAGCTGAAATAGTTTGTCCAAATCAGACATCGGATAAATCCACCTCTTTCAGGGGTGTCAAACATTTGGAAGAACCTACGTATTTGAGTGCCAAATAGTTCATGTCGGGATTGCATCGGTCACCCGTGTGGAACGTTCGATTTGTGCGATCCCAATGCCTGAAATCTCCCCAAATTTGGCATTTACACCTTTTGCCTGGAATCTTCTTACTTCAAGGTGTATTTGACTGGTCAAGAGCCTTGACAGTTGGTTTGGTTCTCAGCACCTAGGACCCCGAACGACAATCCCCAGAGTGCAAAAAAAACATCATCTATCCTTTGTAAAGCGGTATTGACATCAGGCAAATGCTGGTGTTTGCACCACTTCCATTCGCTCCCTAGAAGCACCTGGTTCTCGACCTGGCTACCCTTCGTTGGAGGTCGACCAACATTTCCGGAGCCACTACTGGAGCCACTACAAGGCTGGATGGCTGTGAGATCCCCATGATCTAGCTACTCCATGTGGTCTGTGGAGTGAGTCTCTATAAACTCAAAAGCTTTGGACCCGGAAACTGGCATCGGAAAGTGCCACCTACTGTATCGTACCTCTGGTTGTGTTCTTCACCACCTCCCAAGATGGAGGTGTGTTTTCTTGACATCCCTCGAGGTGGCCCTTTGGAGATAGAAACGCATTTAAGGAACCCAGCAAAGGACCCTTGTGAAGCTGGCATTGTGCTGGTATGTTTGCTACACTAATTCAGATAATTCAGTGTAAGAGAACAGGTCACCTTTGGGGGGGGATTGGGGACCCGCCCCACTTGATCGATAGGTGGACCCTATTTTCCAGGGAAAATGAGGGAACCAGATTCTGCCGAGATCTTCCAACTGCATACCATTTCTGCCTGTTCAGCCCTAGATCCAACATACCTCCGTTTCGGTTCGGTGCCCTATAGGAATCCCCTGGAAGTTCCTTTCACTGATTAGCTTCTTTCAGTATCTTTCAGTCAGTTCATATTCAACAGCTTCATGGGACGGACGTGACCTGTTGATCTGGGGGTGAGCATCTTGTCATCCTTCCAAATCCCATGGTCAAATCATAGGGTACCCCATTTCCTCTATGAAATGGGGTGGGTCAACCCTATTATAAAACGTTGAATGGGGTGGGTTAGGTATGTCAAATCGTTTGAACCAGTTGAATCTGGAGTCCACCTTTGATCGACGAAAGGCTTGTGAGTCGCCTCCTGCCGAGGCGATCGTGGAGGCTTCAGAGCTGCGAGCCGTGAGGTCCGGAGCTTTCCGCTGTTGGTGAGGTCCGCTTTCTGAGGTACGTCACTTCGAAGGTTGAACGGGTCACCCAGATCGATGAACACATGCGAGTGAGCCGTGCTGAAAGCCACAGTCTGCACGCACGGCCTGCCGTGCGTTCGGGGAGCCTCGAAATCGATTTCGACCTCATAGTTCAGTTCGTTGATGGAGTCTCTAGCCAGCACTCCACGGGGGTTCCCCGACACCGGCCCTTGGATGGATCTCCATGGTTCACATCCCTTTTGGAAGGTTCAGGTATTGGTATGTTGTGTGTGTGTTTACTTGTTGCACTGGCTTTGTACCGATTGTAAGCAATCCCAAAAAGATCCAAAAAAGTAAAAGACATAATATCTCTAACTTATGTTTTTTTCTCATTGGGGTGGTAAATACACCAGCTTACCACTTGCCACTTTTCAAGTCTCCAAAAGCTACGACGTCGGAGATCTGTAGAGTCGAGTGCTGGTACATGGAGTGTCTCCGTCTTTCCACCTCTCTCGAGCTGTTTATTCGCCGTGCGGACGTCGCGTCGGGTGAAAGACGACGCTGGACGTCCAAAAGAGATCCATTCTGGTCGACCCGGGTTCATGGTGGGAATTTTCCACCACTGCCCCTAGGGATCCAGTCGTGCCTTCTCAGAAGGTGGGACTGGGGTGGGTGGGTGCCCTGGTCGGGTCTAGGTGCCGCTTCCTCAAGTTCGGTACGACTGGATCTTTGGGGTGCCACCAAGGTGACAAGATATACCAGCACCCGACTTCACAGGTTTTTCCTGGTGACAAGTCCGGTGCCCAGAAACCGCCTGTGAGTGTCCCAAGACAGCCTGGCCAGGAGGGTTCTGGTACCTGATGGTACCTGGTTCTTCCAAGTGACCGAACTTGATACGGCTAGGGGTTTGAGGTGACTTTAGGCTTTAGGCCTGTTTGACATGTCACTGGTTGTCCAAAAAGGGTCACTTAGGAGAAGCTGGTACTTGTACCATTTTGCGTCCTTTTTCTGAGGAAGGCATTGTTTGTTTGGGGAAACTGGGCCAAGCCGACCTCCAGTGCCAACCTCGGCCGCAAACCACCGGCCCTTTCACTGCGCGCGTGCCCTCCAGTTCCATTCAGTGGCTCAAAGTCCCGCAACCCATCGCGTCGCACGCGTCAACACCGCGTCAACCGCGCCACCCTGCCATGATGTTGAGCACCGAAGAGGCGGGGCGGACGTTTTCGGGACGTGGAGGTTCACGCACCATTCCCATCATCTGGAGGTTAAGCATCCTCCGTCCACTAGCCAGAGGTTGAGGGACCCAAGGGGATAGTGTGTAGTGAGCCGGGGAGGTTAAGCGAACTTTGCAGGGGACACCTCACGAAACATGGAACAGGCTGAACTTTTTTCGGCTTTACGACCTGTGTGTCGTGAGCTTACCGGGAATACCCTGGTGGATAGATGGAACAGGCTGAAAAAGGTATAATGACCGCAAATTGTCCAGTTGAGGGAGTGAGCCATCAATCTGTGAAAAAAGAGCTCCAGAGAGGCCCATGGAACAATTTGTTGAGATCCCTAGAGCTTCACCTCCAGCTGCCCCAAGCACCTGGCCTTCTCCCACCCTGGGTTTCCGTTCGGAACCACCACCGTAGTACCGAAGTGGGGACCTCGGCGCAATCTTCTTCCCTGTGTCCCCCCCAAAAGACTACATGACAGAGAAGGCTCCACCAATTCTGCAAGGTACTTGAGGGCTTTAACGTGCTTCGACTGGACATAGACCCATCTAAGGAGTATTGGTTTGTTCAACTGTCGGGGTTGGTTGCTTGATTCATAGAGAGGATACATACCCCCGTGGCCGTGTGCACAAACCAATATTACGGTTCTACCTGGCACATCCTCCCCGACGATATTCTTCCCCATTGGTTGGGTCCACATCACTTCTTTGGGAACGGAGGTCATGTGCATCAACTTCTCCGCAGCTCGTGGGTCAGATGAGACAAGGCTGTTGCGGAGCAAGGCGCCGGAGACGTGGCGCCGAAACCGCAAGCGCAGTCTTCGAGGTTAGCGATGATTCATCGGCAAATCGTCCCTATAACTTATATTGGGCTCTACAGTCATACCTTTTGTGATGATACTGTAAGACCAAATCTATCCCAAACATTCCCAAGCACCTTCATCTAGAGGGACATTCAAGAGCCCTTGGAACCTACAAATGACGCCTGTTCCGCCACGTCTTGGCCGCGTTCGATCGAATCACCCGCCCACCAGTCCACCTTCTCCGCTCGTGATCACCGTACGACGGTTCCCATGGTTCCGTACGAGGTCTGTCAGATGATCACCACTGCGCTGGAGGCGATGCACGAAGCCACTTGCAAGGCACGACCTGGGCGGCTTCGCATGGCGACCGCGGGAGGAGCGGCGAGGAGCGGCGAAGATCGGGGTGAGAGGCACACCGGCCGGGTGTTTTTGGGGCAACAGCGGCTTGGACTTTAGTGCTGGACCTTCAGGACACATGGATTATTATATATAATAAGCTTTTTGACTCATGGAGTTAGTAGCAGGCTTGAAACCATCTTAGGTACGACCGAAGTCGGGTCCCAGGAGCAGACTCTAGAGTCATCCCGTTGCACCTCGAGAGGTCTTTGCTGACCATGGCATCAGGGGAGCTGGTGGTAGTTCAATCTCCCTATAGAGATCCAGTCATACCGAACCTCAGGTTCGGAGCCTCCTGGAGCCTCCTGGCGCACCTGTCTCATGTCTCAGTGTCAAACACATCACCGTGCCAGGGTGGATCCGTGCATCCCTAAGAAATGTGTTTGTGTCGAACACATCACCAAACTGACGAACTCTCGGGGCTTCTTCGCTTGTTCGCTGGCGGACCAATGGTGGGTCCGGTTCCGTGGCTTCCGTGCTTCGTCGGTGCGGTCCCGCAGACCCTGCGCCGGCGGGTGGGCCAGCGGTTGCGACGGAAGTTGGGGCGGATTTTGAAGCAAGAGGAGTTCGAACAGGCCAGGGCCGCGCCCGACTGCGCGCGCGGTCGACGCAGCGTCGACTACTAAGACTGAGACGGAGAAGAGAGGCAAAGGTGTTACCATCAGGTTGGATTATTTGGATCGGATTGTGTGTTGTGTTTCTTTTTGTGGGTGATGGTCTTTGAGAGTTGGTTTGAATGTTTGATATTGATGCAATTGGATGATTAGTTTGGATGTGCATGAAGTTGGAAGATCATACGTACTGATTCTAATAAATATTTATATGTCTTTAAAACATATCTAGATACCTTGTGTTTGGAGGCCCGGACTTTCTTGCAGAAACATGGGCTGTTGGCTGTTGTGTGCCTCTCACTCCTCTTCAGGACCTGGACTCGTCTCCCCAGTGGCCAAAACAAACAGGTCGCTCCAGGCTCCAGCCACGGCTGGTCCCCACTGGCCCTTCCAAACAGAAGCATGGAAGATCGAATTTCCTCTATGAACCATGGCCGCCCGCGAGTCGATTTTGGACCATTGGGAAACGAGTCGAAGGTATTTTACAGACCATGTTGGAGCACTAAAGAACAGGTGCCAGCAGTTCCAGGTTTTTTGTCCCGCGTTTGTGATGGTCTGGGCACTGATAGGCACCCCTCCATCCCGTGCGGCATCTCGACATAAAACTGACTGCTTGCGGTTTCCGTGAGATAAGGACCACATGCACTGCATTGCTACCTTCAAGCCCTATAGTTACTATGTTCACTGATATCTATTAGAATCATGAGACCTCCCCAAAGACCCCCGAAATAGACCACGAACCATCGGTTCCGTGGAGTTTTTTAGGGGGTTTGGTTATACAAGGGATGTCTAACCACTTGTGGGTCGTATATGGAGTGTGAGGGTTTACCTCTTTGGGCCTCCTTCCGGTCGCGCCGGGACTCCCGGTTCCTGGCGATGGAAATGGAACCCCTCAGGCCTTGGCGATCTACAAACGCTATGAAGACAACCTGGACGACCTTCCGGAGGCTCCGGTGGATCCGCTGTCGTGACCGGGAGCGAAATCCAGCCATGACTTGATATATGGAGCCTTGTGAGCTTACTATATACAGGTGCTTCTAGAAATCCTGCGCCCCCACATTCTATATAATTCTATATGGGGATTAGGGCATCCGTCTCCAACATTGTTTTTGATGTCTTGGAACTTGGTCGATGGCACAGTTCTCAACTGACCAGACATTGCGACCACATCCCTACTATTGATGTATTCCCCACCCCAGTACCATTCACAGGTGTCCCATCCAATAGCAATTCTTTGGGTCTTGCTTAAAGCGAATTGAATCCACTGTAGATGAGGGTAGATGAAGATCCTGGAAAACTGTGACTTGTGCACATGTGGTTCTAGATGGATCATTCCCCGTCTTGCAACACAGGACATACCAACCCATCGGTAGAGGACACTGGAACCCGCCCCCTTCGCCGCGACTGGAACTGCCAGCCGACCTTTTTCGTGCGGAAGAAAAGGCGCTGTTCCGGTAGCACGGTTCTGCCTTCGCCCAGGATGCACAGGAATCTGAAAGCAAGGAGTGGAGCGATGGGGAGTTCATGGGGTGTACAGTAGGCGCAGACCATGCGGCTGTGCAAAAAAAGGTGTGTGTGTACATAAAGGATAAGTGGACTGCTGCATACCGTTGCTATAAATGTCCCTACCAGTACCAGGATGGTTCTGCATCTCCAGATGGAGGGTTTTATTTTTCAGCAGTCAACAAGGGACATGTAGCAGTTGAGTACGTGAACCAAGTCTTCTGTGCTTTGCAGTTCCGTTCAGGCTAAGATCATGGCCAAATATGATCACCGGGGACCTTTTGTTTGACCCATTGATTGGACAGCCTTTGAATGCCCTTGAGGGCTTCATTTGCAATCACATCCAGGTGATGTGTCGGGTTGACATATGGAGGTTTCGGCAGAACGTCAAAAAAAACTGCCAATGAATGTCAACCAATGTCAACAACATATTTCCCACAGTGGGTGAGGGCAGGAATGGTGCATCCAGTGCCCAGCCTCGGACGGGTTTCGCACATTTCGATCTTCCGCTGCTCACGACTCGCTTTGCAATTCGCTCGGTGGCAACCTGGCCAACTGCGGATGTGGAGCATCCAAGTTCTGGTCTCCAAATACTGAATTGATCAGATCCTCCAGTTTGCCGCACGAACCATTATCAAAACGCTGTTTCACCAATACCATCTAATACCAATACGTTATACAATAGAAGGCAGCTAAACAGAAGACTGCTAAGCAATAATTCTTTATATAACGTATATGTTCTGAGTCTGAAGGTTATTGCTCCTTAGATGAAACACCTCAGCCATCAAACACATCAATTGATGTATAAGCCGCCATACCTAGCATCTCCTAGCCTTCAAAGACCGTTCAAAGAAAAGTTGACCGAAGCTGGTAGATGTTGGTCGTCGATCCTTAGGAAAGAGTGGTTGCTTTGGGATTCAGATCAAAACTGTTATAGGATTCCATGGTCCAGGGACACATTCACAACATCAGCCGGCCATCTCTTTTCTTCGGTCACAGGAAGCCACTCCGCCCTCGTCCACTCCGGCATCGACGACTCCACCGCTGACGTCCCCGACCAATCCTTTCTGTAACCTCGCTGAAGTCTCAGCTGCGACGTCTCAGCTGCGACGTCGATGCGGAGCCGGCTCTCCTTCGCTGTTTTTTCACATGTTGAACTGCTGACTTCTCCTGGCGCGGAAGTCGGTTGGTCCAGGGACGCCAAAAGCCCGGGAGTGCTTGGTATTCCGAAGTCTATATATGTTCTTTGGGGGGAAACCTGCAAGTCATGGACTGTTCTGATGGACATGTTCTTCCAAACAGCTGGGAGTGACACGGAGAATCGACTTCTTGGTCTCTAAGAAGATGGCGTCTACCCTAGGCCTCCAGTCGTACCGAACCTGAGAAGGTGGGACTGGGGTGGGTTTGGGGGGGTCCAGTCATACCTTCTGAGGAGGTACTTGGAGGTGTAGGGCTAGAAAACTCGGTTAGAAGACTTCTTGCCCACCACTACGATCTTCAGAACCTCCCACCAACGTCCGCCGGAACCCGCTGTCATCGTAGACAAACGCAGTGTGGCCTTTGAGTGGCATCAGAAGTCGTATGTCGATGGGATTTAACCTTTGACCTACCGAAGTACATGTATTGGGGACACCCCATGGCAGATAAGAACAGCCGGAAAGTACAGTCGTTAACTTGCTTTCAAGGGAAACTGAGTCAGTTGACTTTTACAGGTGTCGAAATGAACAGAGAGCTATAGAGAGCTACTCGGAGAATCATCTATTATTTTGGATTCTTTCGAGCCATGATCATGACTCCAAAATTCTCTCAGGACGGCTGAAAGGATCCCTCCCTTCTTTGGTAGCGGCCTTCTCGGAGAAAGATCCAGTATTTTGGCTCTAGAGCTTCTCAGAAGGTATCAACAAAGACATCAAACAACCCCTCCAAGCCTTTCCCAAACACCTTGCACACGCAAGTCTTTGGATGTCTTTGGAAGGTAAGAGCTTGAGCTGTTTGGATCCAGCGAAGATCCATCCAGGCTCCAAGTCCATGGAGCCGCTGGGTCATGAACATCCACGAATCACCTCTTTTCGGGGCTATCCTATGAGACCTGATGACGACCTGATGAGATTTCAACCATTTTTAACCCCATAAGAGCTTGTTAGAATCTAAATGCACATGGATCCAAATGGGGGAGTTGTACGAATCAAGCTCAGGCCTCAGGAGAGTCCAGACACCTTGCTATGAAAGCTTCGACCCCTACTATGGAAGGTCCAAGGATTGTCCGCATTTGTTTCTATTTGTTGATCCATGACACAACCACCTTCTCAAAAAAACGATTCGCTCATGACTCGCTCAGAGCAACTCGGCAGGGGCTGTTCCTAAGGTATTGCGTTGCCTGTCATTGCCATGCCAGTCCCGGTCTATGTCCACGTGCCGGTACCCGTCTTGGAGCCGCGAATGCGGCGGGTGGAAGTGACGGTTGGCGAGTCCAATTTTGGGAACCGGTGCTCAAAGAGGAGATTCCAGTGATTCTGCTTCCAAGTTGAGATAAGGAGTCGAGAAAGACTGTCCCCCATGAAACCTTTGTTATATTTAGTAGATGAGTTCCGTTCTGATGGTCCGCTTGTCGACACCACAATTTGTTTTTTCATTGTAGATTCTGTATCACCATGGGGATTCTCTGCCATACGATTGTTGGATCTCATACTGCGCAGACGCTCCGCTCACATCCCGACTGGTCCCTCACGAAACCAAGGATTGGTTCAACCCCAGACCAGGATTCAACCAATCAACCCTCCAAAGGCTTCGGCTCCAGCATCGAAGTTCATGGATTTGCTTAAACAGGTGATATTGATTGATATTTTATATTGTCATGTATCAATTAATAATTATTTTCCTGTATTTTTCCCTGTGGATGAATCCCCTTCTCAGCAATCATGCATTATTTTTACCGACGGCAAGCATCTCCATTCATCGCCACACATCTCCATTCACTCGGCAGCCCTTCGACGCGATTTCGCCCGGCAGGAGCAAGTGACCGTGGAGAAGATCGTGGACGTGCCCGTGACCAATCCCGTGGACGTGCCAAGCTTTCCGCAGGCGATTCGCGGGAGTCGAGACTACCCCGTGGCGGGAGTCGGGACCCATGGCCTGAAAAACGCCCTTGGCTGGCTGATGAATAGGGGGGATATCCCCAAGTGAAGAATGAAGGTATATATATATAGTCCCGAATAAATCGACCCCACCTGTATTACACTATTACATCCAAAAGAACATCATTGGGTGGACGCCGGGTGTTGACCCGTACAAGGAGATCTGGAACATGATGCCAATGAGCGAGGGAGGGATGGATGTAGCGAGATGTAGGGAGGGTGTGGGGGTCTCAACGCTTGGGAGTGCTGCCATCTATATAAGGTAGCATCGAGGTGTTCAAGGTAACTTCAAACTGGCCTAGACCCGCCAAAGGACCTATGGAACCTAGTGCTTGACCACGACTCCAAAACGCCACCGCCCTAGGGGAGCGCTGTTGCACCCACCCGTCGAGTGCACGGGCCAAGCGCACCAAACGGGCTCCGAACGAGGCCTCCCCCGCACGTGGAGCTCTCGACGCGCGGCTTATGCCTCTGGAGCCGGTGGAGCCGGCGACATCGCCAGCGGCGCGGGGGTGAGGAGTGTGGCTCCGAAACTGGGGTGGGTGACATGGTTCGGGGTGATAAGAGAGTTCCACACAGAATCGGGGTGTGCCAACATATTTCCCATGTAGCATAACGTAGCATTATGAAACTGTGTTGTTGCCGAACAATTGTTTTTTGGGGTCAGGCTATACGTTCCAATCACTTCGTTTGGGACTCTTTCACAACAGATAGCCATCCAATTCGCAAAATCTATGGGCTGCTCTTTTGGCTGGGCTGGTCATTTTATGTCCTGAACATTTGGAGGCAGATAAACACGAAACTGCCGAAGATTCTGCCAGCCAGGACAACAGTTTCTTGTGTTTGATCACTTGATTCTTTTATTCTTTGCGTCTCCGTACCGGGCACTGAGAGTTTCCACAGCACTTTTGTGTCAGATCTGTGGAGGTTCCACAACTGTCCATCTTCCAGTCTAGGCTTGGCTTGGAACGGAAAGACAAAACCGATTGAAACACGACAAGTTGGCTTCGTCGTTTGAGAGGGAACCCGCCGGATCCTCTCACACCATTTGTTTGTCAAACAGCTATCATGTGGTTGTATGCTCGGCCACCACCTGCTGTGTTGTTGGTGTTGTTGGTGTTGTTTGTTTCTTTGTTTCTTTGTTTGCTTGGTTGGTTGGTTGGTTGGTTGGTTGGTTGTTTTCCGCAGGCAACGCCGCCGGCTGGGGAGGCGAACGTCGCCGTCCTGGGGGTGCCGGTCGGATGGAGAGGGGCGTACAGTTTGAGGGACACCATTCTGAGTCAATTGATACTGTACATGTTGATACCCGGGCTGGGTCAAGAAGACGTCCACAAGTGCAGGGGGGTCAGAACACTTTTGGCATTTTTTAGCATATGTTGGACGGAGAGTGGATGCTCCACAGCTCCACACATGGATCGGTGATACGGAGGTCAGACGGTCAGCCTGTGAGAATGGAGGCGAAGCCTTTTTTTGACGGCTCAAACAGGGGGAAGTTCCAGCAACCTTAGTCAAACAATCCATGTATGGAATAGTTACCTACATTGGAGGTCATAAATGGGGAACATGTATTTGTATAACATATACTATATTATGTATAACTATTCCATACATGGATAGTCTGGGTAAGTCATTTGCGGATTCCCCGACAAAGGATCGCATGATAATACATGAGAAAACGATGCTGAGGCTGGTGAACTGTCCTCATCAGCACCTTGTCACTATAATGAGAGGATCGCTTCCTTTGAGCATCCGAGAATCTCCAGCAGTTTGGGTTTCCAAATTGGTTAATCGATTCTTTCGATTTCTTTCGTTATAGTTGAACCTGAGTGACCTCTACTATTGATGGAAGAAATCCCGCACCACTTTCATGCAGATGTTTCTTTATACCCTGGCGGCCCTCTCGCTCCCTTTTTAACATTGCTCCTTTTGGTATCACAAGCTGCAAAGGTGCCATGGACGGAAATCCTGCACCACCATCCTGCATGACATGACAACATTGAATAGGGGTGCGGGGCTGCTCGTTTGTCAGCTTTGGATGAGGGCTGTATCAAAGTGGCGCAGGATTTCTGCCGCCCACCGAAGAAAACTCAACAGTTTGTACTGTAAAAGCGTCCTGCAAGTCTCATCTGCGCACTCGTTCGACGCCAAATGGGCCACTCCTCCTTGCTTGTTGCTCACCAACAGGCACCCCACACATGTCAGTCAACAGCCAGTCAACACGACAGTCAACGCTACACTCAACACTCAGTCAACACTACAGTCAACACTGCGAAAATGCTGGCAGGGCCACGAAGTGTGGTAGTGGGCCATTGAAGCAAGCTTTGAAGCCATATTCACTAGGTTTTCAAACGTTCCTTCCCATTTGCTGGGCCTGCCAGCATTTTCGCAGTGCTGACTGTAGTGTTGACTGAGGTTGGACTGAGTGTTGACTGTAGTGTTGACTGTTTGTTGGGCTGACTAGACATTGCATGGTCAGCGCATTCCTGAATGCAAGCAATGCTTTGCTCAGCTTGTTTTGCAGCACGGTCTTGCCGCGCGGTCGTAATTGCAATGCCTTACTGCTACTGCACGCGCGGCTTAACGTACCTGACGCGCTGAAAATGAAAATGTCTGCCGTGCCAGTGTGCATCTGCATTCTACCTATACACTGACCCCAAAATGCCTTATTACCGTATTTTAGAGGATCAACTATCCAACATATTGCCTTTTCCCATCAAACAGAAGGTCAAATGGGTTCTTTATACCAGTGAGTCACATGGGTGTGAGTGGATGTCTTTGGGGCACCCCCAAGCTCCATGGATAGCACCCATCTCCATGGAACTGCTGGTGTATATATATATATATCCTTCGAACTTTAAACCCTACAAATTCTTCTGGTGCAGACTCAAACCTTCGGTAATTGCAACTCAAGGTAGTCGGAGAACGATCTAGGATTGGCCCGAGGGCAGTGCTGTATATTGGAACGGCACTTCTGCCGGGCCAATCCATGGGTGCGCTACGGCACAGCTCCGCAGTTCGCTCCGAGGCAAAAGGCCACGGTTCGGCCGATTCCGATGTCCCACAGGCCTTCCGGAACTATCCCAAGTACGGCAGAATGATGGAACGACAAAGTCCCTCGGCCCTAGAATCCCACACATTTGTGAGGTTCGGTGGTGACTGGGGTGTTTTTTGGGGGGTGTGTTCCTGCCTGTTTCTTTCGAAGGTCTTTCGGTCGATCAAGCGATCGGCTGATAACGACACGACGACCGAAAAGGGGTGGTTCCTTGAAACAGCAATAATATGACCATCGCCTCGCTACTAGGGTGGAGGCCATTGCTCTTAGGTTGGCCCGTGGGTCACCAAGATCCCGGTTGACCTACCAACGATACAGGTCGTTCGCTACATGGACTAGGAGTTCCCCGGTTTTGACCCAGCGGTTGCAGCGACCAATCAAGCAGCGCCAGGGTGGGGTCTCCACGGAGTCGCAGAGGTGACGTTCATCTACGGGAATTTCAAGTGACATATTATATTGTTATTTTAGGTTTATACAATATATAGGATGTTTATATGCATTTTATATTATGTATTGTTTTTATTGTTAATGATAACTTTACATACATATATATATATATATATATATACATATGTGTATTTTATTATATCGACCGCAATGGTTGAGAAAGGCTGGAGTGTTAAGGGCCCCACGCTGGGGCAGGCAGAGGCTCCGCCTCTAGAGACCAACTACAGTGCAATGCTCTCTATCTTCTGGTATTCTCTTAGACCCTGAGGTTAATCTGCGGATCCCTTCAGTGATCCCTTCAGTTCATCAGGAATTGATGAGTAAAGCCTGAAATGGTCAAAGCCTTACCAGAAGATCGAAGGACAGGCAAGAATGTAGGGGGCCAACAGTCGATTGGAGAGACCTGTGTTGGAGGTTGCGAGGGGTCCGAAAGGATCACAAGATTCGATCACAGAGTTGAAGTTGGAGGGTGCTAGGAGGCGCTAAACAAAAAGTCCTTCAAGCAGTGCCGGTCTGGTTCTTTGGTTCATGCGAAGCAAGGTACCTGTACCGGCACCACAAGCTTGACGGGCGGCTCATCAGTTATGGATGATGCACCTCGACTAACCTCAGAGCCAGCAGAGCCAGAGGGCTCGGGTTCATCAGCTGCAGGCCCACAGTGTTTATGCCTGTTTATTCTGGGCCAATGTGAGTGGGGGTTGATGGTAATTAACTTATTCTATTGTGAAGCCTTTTTGGGTGAACATCAAAGAATAGTTTCTCATGCTCTTAGGTTGAAAGGACATGAAGGTTCCCTCTCTATGGCATGGGGACAAGCCCTAACCCTGCTTTGTGTCCTTGCACTCTACAAATGGCACGAATCTTTTGACTTGACCAAGTCGAGAGCTGTGTCATCGTGAGACCTTCAATGATTCAATGATGGCTCGCTAAGTCGATCTAAGTCGTACAGTCAAGACAGTGACACCAGCTGAGATGGATTCCGTATGGATTTCTGCACCTTGTCATCCTCCGCCCAGGTGCTGTGATCCAGTGTTATCACCCTTGTTCTTCCAAGCATCAAAACTGCCACCTTTTGCCCCAGATCAGAAGTTCATGCGTCATCTTCGGGTCTTCATCCCTCCAAATGCATCTGCCCTCTCCACTCCTGGACCCCCACTGGCTGGGTGTATTTGTTCACAGTCAGACCCCCCGCTGGCTGGGTAGACTGGTCTATTTTCCGAACCTTTCAGAGGGGTTGTTGCCTGGGAGTTCTCCCCATTTATATACCATCTATGGAGGGTTTGGAGTTTCTCACCAATCCCTAGGTGTTCCGGGACCTAAAATCTCCGTGTGTTTCACGGAGCGTTTGGGAGGGCGTGATCTCACTCGATTCCAACTTCAGAAGCATGAGCGTATAGACTTCTCCTACCCTAGGCTCCAACGGATCCACAACTTGTTCGGTGCCTGAGGGATGTGAATTCATGTGGTGACCAGCTGCAGAAGGCTTGGGCATCTTTTGGACATTGAACAGGATGACTATCCCGACTCCAAAGGCCTCCAAACCTATCCCAAAGACCGAACCGAAACGTCTTGGAGCCAAAAACCGTAACGGCCTGAAGGTGACCAGAACTGGTGAACAACTTCCATGCTCCCATCAAAGTAGAACTTCTTTCCGCCACTGCTGTCTCCTATTTGTGGTCACACGTCCCTCCAATGTGCTTCATTGTCTTCCTGTTCAGGTCATTTTCTCACGATGGAACCGACTTGAGGGGACAAAGTTTTCGATGGGCTTGTGGCTTGTGCCAAGGAAAGAAACATATATTCGTGTAGAAGAAAACCCTACACCCCTACACATCATGCAAGATGTGTCTTTTTCTCTTCTCCATGACGTGAAACGTCCCTGTTTCGCCCTGCTCCGTCCGGCCACCCTTCTCGAGGAGGATTACTTGGACACCCAGATCGAGTGGATGCGCTCGGTGACGGATGGAGCCCCGGTGGAGAGGACCTTCATTCAGTTCAATACCAACCTGAAGGCCGAAGGACCCGAACAAGCTTTGCCGCAGACGTTTGGCCGAAAGAAACACCGAGCCTATAGCATATATGCTATCTACACGACGTGTTTGTCCGACTTCGTGGAAGGATGCTAATTCCATTCTTGCAGGTGCTTCCAGGAAGCCGCTGGAGAGTTCCATGGTACACAAAACATAAAAGGCGTGGTGTTTGGGGTGAAGTTTTACTTTGGTGTTTCCCCACATCGTCCAGTGGTGGACAAGGCTGGCACTGGTACTCCAGATTGCTCCCCGAGCTTCAGTTTGTCACCTTTAGATCTCAGAACTGAAGGTCCTGGTATATACAGTATATATATATATGATATTGTATAATTATGTAATATAATATAATAATATATATATATTATATATCAATACATATTAATGTACGTATAGCATTCAATAGGTGTACTTGCTTTATGTTGTTTCCTCCCTCCATGAAGGTAAGAAGCCAGGGCTCGCTGGACGACACTTAGCTCCAGGGATCAATTCCAATCCAGGTCGATGATTGTGCATGGCAATGACAGCATCTTTAAGCAGCAAGGTGGCACTGCTTCTTTTCTTCTGAAGATGGACTGCTATACCCAAGAGTCTAAGAGCTTGGGAACAATGGTGCGACTGCTCCACCTCCGGTGCGACTGACCCTTGCTTCAACAGACCATGGTATACCGGGCGGCAGGTATACACCAAAAAGAGCATCTACAAATCGTTTCCTAAACAACGATGTTTTCTGTGGCACAATAATAGTAGTAAGTGGATTCAGTGTATTCATACACCAGCAGTTGTGCATGCAAACCGCTGTAGCCTCCACTCCTCTCGGATCTCCTTTTGCAGGTGGCTCGCAGGTCCAGATCCCGCTAAGACGGGCAGGAAGTGCACAGCAGCATGTGGCCGGGGGCTCTGATCCGCGACACGCGTGCCGACGTGTCTCAAGAAGCCCCACAAAGCCCGAGCGACTTGGGCCCGTCCCAGATGATTTGAGGCCAAGTTACAGACGTGCAAAAAAAATGTCTCCGGTCTTCCTTCAATGCTGGTACGACTCAGAGGAAAGCTCCGTCCCAGATGAAGGACCATTTGGAGACAACGGCGTGACTTGGGATCCATGTGACTTGTGTACGCAACGGCCTGTACAGCACTTATAGGTTTAAAGCTTTGCCATTAACCCTAAAGACTGGAAGAAGAGAATTTGTTATGCTAACTTGCACTTCATCGGGTGTGGCTGCGGCGTGGAAAACATCAGGCAACCATGGGGTTATACATCATTGAATGTCATTGTACACATGGGCACAAGTACCACATGCTCCATTTTGTAGGGTACTGACATGGAGTGTTTGGGTACTGTCATTTGCTTTGTGGAACTCTGCAAATGAGAGTCCTTGATGCTCATCAAGCAACCGGATATGACCCGTTCAAAGTCTTGTAGTAATTATGTTAATACTACACATAGCATCGGCACCACCCCTGGTGCAAAACAATGTTTTTTTTGTTGAAAGCCAGGTTTTATATATAACAACCTTCTTTTTGAGAGGAGGGTGCCAAGAACAGTTTTTTGATACTTGAGGATTTTGTACTGCTGAACGCAAGCATGATTTGTAGCAGCTGAGCACTTGACATGAGCATGTGTGTTTCACCCAGCAAGTGCGGAACTACTTGCCGGGTCGATGGCTTTCTAATGCTAGCTAAGTTTGATGTAGACATATATAAGTACTTAGGACTAACTGAGCGTGGACTTGGCCAAGGAAGACTTAGCTTCGATTTAGGTTTGACTCAGGCTGAACTGTGGTTGAACTTAGGTTGGACTGTCCGAGCAGAACCCAAAAAAGTCTAAGCCAAGTCTTCCGACGTGTTTTTCTATTTTTTCTTAATTTTGAAAGGGACATGTGAAAGAATTTGTTTGACAATGTTTGACAGTTTTTCACTTTACTTTAGTCTTACAGGGGATATGTGCCAGAAATTTGTTTGAATTGTTCAATAATTGTTCCCTGTCATTTTAGTCTTAAACTCTTTAGCTAAGACTTAGCTTGGACCAAACCTGGACTTAGGTCGGACTTAGTTTCGACTGACCAAGTCCGAGCTAAGGCCAAGTTTGCCTTATTTGACTTAACTTTGACTTAGCTAAGTCAGACCTAAGCAATTACAATCATCTATAGAGGTTGAGAGACTAAAAACAAGGGTTACTGTAGTAGGTTAGCAGGTTTATGACATATAATTATGTAATATATTGTATGATATATATATATAGAGAGAGAGCTGTAAGTCCAAGACGACGATATACCCAAGACGACGATATACCTGGCAAGTATAGAATGATTGAAGCTGCAGCACAAAGCTAATGACCATACTTTTCCAGGAACGCATCCGCAATGAGGTGGAAATGCAGGAGGAACGATGTGGAACAATACCTCCGTGAGAATGTCAGTCTTTGGATCCCAGATCGAGGGGTCACCGGGGTCATCCAATGAAAGAAGACTTGTCAGACCACAGGTTGGCACTGTTTGCAATTAATGTGTTGCGGTAATTTTTTAGCGCTGGGACAGGCCAGCAGTTGGAAATCCGAGTTTTGAACCGTAGGCGACCCGTGGAATTAACCGTAGCCGTAGACAACCCATAGAAACCCCGTAGAAACCCATAGAAGCCTGTAGAAAAGTATGCAATTTGCAGTATGTATGTTGGGTTTTGAATTGGTTTTTGAAAGCTCTTGGCCTGATCCGAGCGTTCCTGATTGCAGCCCGAGAGGGATGCTTGCCGGGTCCATGGCTACCTAAGTGTACCATAATCTCGCTAAGTCTAAGGTAGACGGTAGATTTTGCTTTGATTTAGGTTTGACTCAGTCTGAACTCACTAAGCCCGAACAAGTCCAATCTTCGCCTAAGCGAAGTCTAAGCCTAGCCCCAGCGGAGTCTTCTGACAGTCAGTTTTGTCTCAATCTTAAAGGGAATGTGCGCGTGAGATAATTCTTTTTTGACAGTTTGTTCCCTTTATATACTTCAGCCTTGCAAAAAGCAATATGTATTATAGTAAACTTTTCCGACAAATTGGCTAGGACTTAGCTTGGACTTAGTTTGGACTCAGTTTGACACTTAGGTTGGACATGGGTTGGACTTACTATCTCCAAACTAAGTCCAAGTCTTATGTGACTTAGCTTTGACATACTATAACCGTTGCAAAGGTACCCTAAATCAAACCTTGCCTTTACAGAGGTCAAGACACTCAAAACAAGGGCTACTATACAGATTAACTTATTGATACTTTAGAAGACTTATAAGCTATAACGGGTTATAAGTCCAAGTTAGCAAAATAGTATATCCAGCATGTGAACAAAGCCTTAATTAAGACCTTCAAAGGTTGATTCCAGTGCTGTGTTTGCATCAGCAAATGGCCACCTCCAACAGCTACAGTTACGCCGGTTGCTTCCTTCAGCGATGATGTATTTGAAAGCTACATGCATATACAATTACATGCATTCAGCTGTGGCTTGTTGTTTTTTTTTGCGCGGATGATGTGTGGAAGGGTGTTCAGTTGGGAACCAAGATCTCCAGTATCCGTGTAAAAACTTGCAGGGCATGCATATACAATTACATGCATTCAGCTGTGGCTTGTTGTTTTTTTTTTGCGCGGATGATGTGTGGAAGGGTGTTCAGTTGGGAACCAAGATCTCCAGTATCCGTGTAAAAACTGGCACGGAAATCATGGTCCCAAAACCGGGTTGCAAGATAAAACGATTCTTTTTCATGGTGTTGAGGGCTCGTGGTATATAATGATGCATATCATATCGTACACCAGGACCTTGAAAGACCTCAAACTGGAGTCTCTAGACTTGTGACCTTTTCCAGGCCGACTTTGTCCTGTTTGTGACCGAAAATCCCGTGATCTCAAGAGGTCACGAACTGAAGGTCCTGGTACTTATCTATATCCATCTGATGTGGCTGGCAATCGTGCACGTGCTGCCTCCCTTCGATCCAGGTCCATTTGCCTTGGCCGCCGCATGGGGCGGTAGATGTTCGCAGCTCGGTCCCAGCGAGCTCTCCACGAGCTCGGTCCACGCAGCGGAGAGCGCCAGGTCCGATGTCGAGATGTCGAGTTCATTCGAGTCCTATCCAGGAGAAGTGATAACCTTTCAACCTTTTTTGGGGATTGGTTTTCCACCAAATATAAACATGGAAAAAGGTCAACCTTTGAAACTGAGGGAGTCAGCCTTGCTGACTGTGCGGGCTTGGAATGGAGCATCAACTCGATTCCTCGCTTTTTCCTGATGATCGTTTTGTTTTTGTTTGGCAGCCATCCAGCCAGCTAGCCAGGATGAAACACACTGGGCTGGGACTTTCGTGGGTGAGATAACTTTACATGTAGTTGCGGTTTTGGATTCCACCAGTGGGTTTTTCACCTAGTAACCAGTCAGTGGAAATCCTTTACACAACATTCTTGAACCTTTTGGGGGGAATGGTTTCCCATGGTTTTCCCAATACAAATGAACAGAGGAACTTGTTGGTGCTCGTTCACATGTGAGTATCACCCCTCTAGTCTCACTCAGGCTTGGCGAAAGGATAGAAACAGCAGGACAAAGCCGGGTGTCTCAATTTGTCCAGGGGACCAAACAGCTTGCGGAGGCACCTCACTGCTTCAGGACACTACCTTGTGCATTCGCCCTCTCGCAGCAAGATATAGCGATGGTCCGGAGAAACGATGGTCCCAAATAGAAAGGGTCCAGGGTTTGAGATCCCAAAGTGGTGAGTTCCGGTGTTCCACGTTTTTGGCCTGAAACATCTTCATGCCAAGGCATCTCCTGAGTGCGAATTCGTTTGGCACGACATCCTTGTACAGTAATCCAGCAGACTGCTGCAGAGGGTGCATCCAAGAAATGGAAAGTTGTTTTGTCCAGGAGCTAAGGCCATCTCAGGTTCCAGGAGCACGATAACTAGCTTGTTTTTGGAGCAGCATAACTCCCTTCATCTTCATCTCCCTTCAGTTTCTTTCTATCGCACGACACCGTGACAGAGGATCTCGAGCTTGTTGGAATCATTTTGGGTGTGAATTGATTGAGTCTGGTATCATCTGGTATATTTGTTCAGGCGTGCAAAGGTTTGATGACGCCCTCCTACAGGTTGTTGAACATCGCGAGTCCTCGGGATGCGGGGATATGGATGCAACTCCCGAGTCCTTTGGTGCTATGTGTTGGAAAGTCTTGAAACTGACAAAACAAAAAACACGTGTTTTTTTCCCAATCGAGCATGAACAGATGACCAACCGGGTCATAGCTAGGGTGACTCTTGGGCTCCGGGTTTTGACCGCCAGATATCTTCATCGTCTTCACGAGCCCTGGAGGTGGCTGGTGTGACTCAAACACCCCGTGTCCATGAACCCCTTGTTGCCACATGTTGGCTTTTTTTTTGTTCCACTGAGGGTCAGATGATGTCCGAAACGATTTATTTCGCGTGCTGCAAAGTAGTATGCGATGGCCTCCAACCTATGGAAGCGATGGCCTTCAACCTCCCTGCAGCCGTTCTCTGCAAATGATTATTTTTTGAATCACATGCTTCCGATACGATCTCGGAGAGCTTTCCCCTTTCTGTTCTACTCACCGCTCTAGGGTGTGTTCCAGCGCGGCCGAAGGAAGGAATTGGTGGTGCCGCTGTTTTGAAGCACTTGTTGACCTAGTACATTTGCCGCAGCGGTTTTCAAGCGCACGCTTAAAAATCGGTATTCCACCGTGTCAGGCACATCTTTTGTGTGTTGTTTCACGACTGGTTTAGACAAGACAAGAATAAGTCACTATGCCATACCAAGACCAGCGGAAGTCTTTTGATATTTTGGAATTTGGCAGAGGCAAAATGTCAACCTAGGTTTGGCAACGCAGGGTTGTA